TTAGTTTAATAGTTCCGTTTAATTTTTTGCTGAACGGCTAATTCAACGATACATCATTAAATATTTATACATGTATAAAAGAATTGATCTTTCGTATAACAAAATTTCACCTTAAACTTTACTATTTATTATCACAATTTCTGGGAAATGTTTTTCTCAAATCAACTTCAAGCTTTATAAAAAAAATATTTACAAGAAAACATTTTTCATAATTTTCAGTTATTTGGGATGTTTAAGAAAATAAGTGAACGGAAAATATTTTCCTGGTCAAAAGAACATTAACTCATTTTTAAAGAAAATGACTACCCCTTTTTAAGACAAGAAAATTTTTTTTAAACATTGATAAATTTATTATAACTTTATAAATGCATATTTTTTAATTCATTAATCATCGGTAATCACTATTATTAATCATCATTTGGTACCACCATTCATTAGCGATTTTCATAATTTACCATTAGTTTTGTATTTTTTTTCTCATATTTAATAATAAAATTTTTAGAATACAAAATTTTGTTATTAGAAATATTTTCACGGTGTTATGAATTAAAGGTTTTAAAATTTTTCAAATGTAAAATTACTTTGGAAACAAATGGAACTTAAGGCAACATTTCCGAACTCTCCTCTCGAATATTCTTCCCACTAAATGGGATCAAACCTATTCCACTAATCAACAATCAATTTAGAGAACCCAGGGCTTAAGAGTCCGCTGTTGAAATTTAAACTGTCTATTCTACTAATTGAGATGGAATTCGTCGAAGCATAGATTTTCACATGAACACTTTGGTCTATCAATTTCATTTTCTATGCCGCTGTTGAAATTTAAACTGGTCTATTCTACTAAATTGAGAATGGAAATTTCGGGTCGAAAGCAATAGATTTTCAACATGAACACATTTGGTCTATCGAATATTTCAATTTTCTAATGCCTTAATGAAACCCCGCAAATGGCCATAGTTTTTAGGTTATCAAACTTGAAAGGGAATTTTTAATAACGAAAAACTCACTTTCTTACACAAGTTATAAAATGCACAGATTGTTGTTACTGATTTTTTGAAGTAGATTTTGGAAAAATAAAGATATTGAATTTTGGCTTTCAAATGCAAATAGACCCCAAATTATTGTTTGACATTGGAGATAAATCAAAAGCCTTGTGGCTATTTTTAACAAGCTCAATTCAATTTTCCCCAAATTCAGCAATTACCTGATTCCCTTGCTTTCTTTCAGGATTCTTCTTCCTTGCTTTCTTTTCTTCTCTCCTTTCCCTTTTTTTTTTTTTTTTTCTATTTTTTTTTTTTTTTTGTCTGGTGAAAACATTTTTTTTTTTTTTCTTTTGTCTGGTGAAACAACATTTCTGACCCCATTAATATGGCTTATAGCCATAGAAAATAAAATAAAATATTTATCATATTAATCTAAAATTACCATGAAATTATTCGTTAAATAGATGGTCAACGCCGCTGAAAAAAAAAGGAAAGAAAACAAGTTTTAGCTGATTCTTTTAAATGATTCTTTTAAATGAAAAAAATCAATGGCGTAATGCATAAATTTGACCATGTACTTTCAACGATTATCCTTATACCCCATAAATTTTATAGGGAATACATCATGATACTGTATTTTAACATTTGAATAGTAGTTATGTCTCTCTCCAAAATGAAATGTGAAACTGTAAGATCATTATTAAACATCTACAAAAATATTTTATTTTGGCGAATGATATAGCTATTACTGAAATGTGAAATATAAGGTCTTAATTGATTTGAACAGTTTGGAGGGCCACAAGGATAATCGGTTAAAATTCAAGATGAAATTTACGCATTTTGCTAAAAATCAATTTTTACTTTCAACATGGCTGAAGCAATTGTCCAAGTAGCTTACCATCCATCCAAGTATTCAAAGAAAGAACCAATATTCCTTGTCCCAGCCTGGCTGATAATCTTATCCTTATACTCATCAAATTTCCTTGAAATTTTCCTTAATATCTCATGATTCAACCGCCTATCTGTATTCAAATATCTGAATAACATTTTCCTTAATATCTGAAATATCTCAGGATTCAACCGCCTATCCGTATTCACATATCTGATTAACATTTTCCTTTCAACCGCCTATCTGTAAGCACATCAGATCTGACTAAAATTTTCCCAGTAATAATAGCATCAATGGCTTGGCTTTCAATAGGCATGCACTTGGAATGAATGTCTACAATAAAACCATATTCATCACTCATAGTACAATTGACCTCTTTCTATATCTTGTTCGCAAATATAACAATGATAATAAGCCTTAGCTACGTAGGAATTCCGTGATCTAAGGCCAAAAATGTGTTCACCATTTTTCGTCTTAATGGCTTTTGGTAAAATGCAATCGACATGAACATCATAATCGCATTCATAACACTCCCAGCCTGGCTGATAATCTTATCCTTATACTCATCAAATTTCCTTGAAATTTTCCTTAATATCTCATGATTCAACCGCCTATCTGTATTCAAATATCTGAATAACATTTTCCTTAATATCTGAAATATCTCAGGATTCAACCGCCTATCCGTATTCACATATCTGATTAACATTTTCCTTAATATACCAGGATTCAACCGCCTATCTGTAAGCACATCAGATCTGACTAAAATTTTCCCAGTAATAATAGCATCAATGGCGTGGCTTTCTTTCAGATTCTTCTTCTTGCTTCTTTTCTTCTTCTTTCCTTTTTTTTTTTCGTCACTTCCTAGTGAAACAACATTTCTAACTCCATTAACTCGGCTTTTAGCCATACAAAATAAAATAAAATACTTATCATATTAATCTAAAATTACCATGAAATCATGCGTCATATGGATAGTCAAAGCCCCTGGACAAAAAAAAAAAAAAAAAAAAAAAAAAAAAAAAAGAAAAAAAAAAAAAAAAAAAAAAAAAAAAAAAAAAAAAAGAAAGAAAGAAAATAAGCCTTAGCTGATTCTTGTAAATGAAAAAAATCAATGGTGTAATGCATAAATTTGACCATGTACTTTTAACGATTATCCTTATGCCTATTAGCATATTTTGCATCTCGCTATTCCTTAGCTGAAAGAAGTAGAACTTCTTTCTCGGTCAGTTGGGTTGGTTGGTGGATAGGGAGAAACTATTAGCATATTTAGATATCATCAGGTGGAGTTCATTCATAATTGTTGGTGTATCATAACTGACCTGTACATGTTTAGGCCTGGGATTGGAAAATATCAGAAATTTTTAAAGGTTCACCAACATGGTGTTGGTTGGATTGATAAGAAGTCCTTGAAGCATATTTTGCTGGAAGGACCAAAAACCACCCGAACATGGCAATTACAATTATTATAACCACACCCGAACATGGCAATTACATATATATTATTTTATCCCTTTTCAATTTTGAGAAATAGGGAAATGTCACTTACTTGACTTTTTAATTTTTGGTTCTAAGACGTTTCTTTTTTGTTTCTGTTTGATTCCCGAGAAAATGCTGGAAATTTTAACTTATCTCTATAATTATCTCTTATAAAATCAATTTATAGATTTTAAGTTGAAAAATAGTAGAAATTTTGTTAATTATCTCCTTAATGTTTCTTTCTGTTTGGCTGCGGAGAGGTTGTAGAAAAGTGAAAAATATTAGTAAAATAGGTTGTTAGTTTACAAATGCTGGAAACTCAACTGCTGAGATTTCCACTTCCTTTTTTTGCTTCTTCTAATTGCTATTGCTGGAAATTAAAGAGATTTTTGTGGGTTGAAGATACTAGAAATTACTCCATAGTGTATACTTTTTAGTATACTAAATACTTTGTTATATGTTTCTGTTTGGTTGTTGAGAAATGCTGATTGATTGTTGGGAAAATGCGTTGAAGTGAAAGAAATTTCAGTCGCATATAGTCTTGGACGGAAGTTGAATTTTATTAGTAGGAAATACTGGAAATTGAATTGTAAATTTTCTCTTTTAACCTCTGCATCCATTTGATAGAAGAAATGTAGAAGAGTAAAGAAATTGAAAATGAGTAAAAAGAATTGAATAAAGAAATTGAAAATACAAATATCAGGATTTAGGATTTTAGAAGTTCAACTGCTATTTGTATTTATTTTTTACTGAGATTACAATGGCGTAAATGTTGGGTTGAAATTTCTGTTCAGTTTTTGATTGAATTGGCCAATGGAGTCTTACAAACTTTTCCTGAAGAAAACTGTTGGGTTTAGCAAATGTTTGATTACAATCAGATGGTTGGATTCAAGAAAACAATTGAGGTAGTGCACTCATCTTATCACCACTAAGCTAACTGTTTTATCTAGTATGATTTTGTGTTTGTTAGTTAGACTGAATGGAGGAAATATGATTCGTGTAGTGGACCCCAATTGTTGGATTGAGGTTTAGTTGAGTTTGGGTGTGACTTTGTCATTGTTAGTTATTACTGCTACCTTTTTCCTTTTTTGTTCACTAGATTTGTTTGTGAGTGTTGAGTTGAACTTAGTGTATGTCTAACAGAGTTGTTTCCTTCAAGAGATGATGCAATGAGGCACATTGAAAATACAACTGCTCCACTATAAAAGTACCTTAAACGATGAAAGAATATTCTCTCTTATCTCTCGTGTTTGACACCACTTTATTTTTTTTTTACTTCTGCTGCCATATTATATACAAAGCAAAGATAACACTTTTTTTTTTTTTATTTCTTCTTTCATGTCCTTCCTTCCAACCTTCTTTTTTAATAGTTACTTAGTTAGCATTGAACTTGAATTTTTTTAACCCTTTCTTTTCTTTAGATTTCTACAAGCGTGGATTTGAAGATTTGCAAATAGTTAGCATTGACTTGGAAAATTTTTTTACCCTTTTTTTTTTTTTTTTTTTTTTTTTTTTTTAAAGATTTCTACAAGCCTGGATTTGAAGATTTGCAAATAAGTTCACTTAGGGAAATGCATCTATGTCAATTTTTTATGGGTGCAATTGGTGCAATGTGATTGTTCTAAACAACTGCAATGAATGACCTGGTGCAGCTCTGAAGTTGAGAGATTATCATATCAGCCCAAATTAGGACTTCCAATTGCAATCTCAGAAGTAGGAAGGCTAACGCAGTACGCTGATCTGAGTTTCATAAGCAGAAGGCAGATCATAAATGGGAAACAAGCTGCAAAAGCCCCTAGGATCAGACAGGGTAGAAGAACAAGAACAGCAACAAGAAGAAGATTCAAACTTTACATGTGATTTATGCATTGAACCCAACCTATCAGACAGGAAATTTAAGAATGGTGGCTTGTGTAATCATCCTTTCTGCTTGGACTGCATATCCAAGTATCGCAAGTACCATTCGAAGTAAAAGTTGAAAGTCACTGAAAACCATTGAATGCCCTGGACTGAACGTTGTGGGCACCAATAGACCCTCTCTCGTGCAGGCTTTCATCTCAAAAGCACTATTTGAAAATGGGTCTTGACCTTCTCTGTGATTTCATGGTTTTAAGGTTCGAAGGGTGCTCTTGTCCGTTCAAGATTGCTCAGCTTTGGTTTTGAATGGAATGCAAGTATAAACTTAAAAATAAGTGTCTAACTGTAAGAAACAATTCTGTTTTCGGTGCAAGATTCCATGGCATGCAGGATATGAGTGCAAATGAGAGCGGACAATTGAGAGGGACAATTGAGAGATAGTAATGATATTCTGGTTGGGGAACTTATAGAAGAGAAAAAGTGGACAAGATGTTACAATTGTGGTCACTCTGTTGAGCGAGTCAGTGGGTGCAGAGATATAAAATGCAAGTATGCTCTCGTCCTCTCTTCTCTGTGTGTGTATGTGGGTTTTCCTGTATAATAAAATTTGTGATGTACTTTATTCCTCCATTTTTCCTTACACAGCAAAATATAAAAAGGAAAACACACAGCAACCGTACATGCTCATTAAAGTATATTTACACAAATAATTATATATACTGCATAAAATTCATCATCTGATGTGTACTTAAATTATGATTCCTACGAAGCTACAAGAAAAACTAATGATTGGGTGGTTTGATTTGGTCACAATCTATTGACATGGTAATAACGGGTTAAGAAGTTGACAGGTTTCCCATAAGCAGTACTGTTTAGGGCCCACTTTTTCCTAATTTTTTATCACAAATTCTGCTATTGGCAATATCAATGCCATGCTAGGCCTTATTATCTTGTGCAACTATCTAGCTAAGCCTAAGTTCTTTCATCATTTTGGAGCAGCTTAGCATTGGAAATAAAATGATTGATGAAGTGATAGTCATTTGACACGAATATTAACAGTCAAAAAGAATGTGGAATTGGAAAAATATCTGCATTTAGGCAGTTTTGACGGGTTGAAAAAACTAGGAATCATTATATATATTACCCCTAATCTATATCTTTGATGTAAATTTGGTTTTCAATGCAGATGCGCGGTTCGATTTTGCCATCAATGTGGAAGACGGCTTCATTTAGGTCCCTGTAACCACAAGTGTTGTGGAGACGCTTGCTGCATGCTATTTTTTCTGGTGGTGTTGATTACTTTCTGCTTTCTACTATATCATCAAGTAAAACTGCTGTGTCAAACTGCTGTCCCGCTGAAATAGCCAATGGGTACAGAAGTTTCTCCAATTTGAGCTTTGGTACAATACATGGTCGGCATTGTGGCATTTAGCTAATAGTTTTGTACATGAATTTTCTATTACTTCAAGAAAGTAGAATTACTACTAATTACCCCTTCAATTATTATTAGCATTGCAGTTGTATTATGCATACACATCCACTTATATAATGATTGACCATGCTCTAAGGTAGCCTCTCCTTGCGCTTGTAGAGCAAAATCAGATGGCAATCTAAGGTTGCCTTTGTTATATTTCTGCATAGGAAGTTCTACATGTGATATAATCTCTTTTATTGATTTTTTTCTTATATTTAATTTTTTGTTTTTGATAAGAGAAAATTATGATCGATTCATTGTGATGGCGAGGCATCTTTGTTATGCATTTGCATATATTTCTAAGGCTTCGTTTGTTTCGGTAAAATAATTTATAAGAAAACATTTTTCTTAGTTTTCAGTGTTTGGAATGTTCAAGAAAATAATTCTAACGGAAAATACTTTTCTGGTCAAAAGAACATTTAAGTCATTTTTAAAGAAAATGACTTCCCCTTTTTGAGAGAAGAAAATATTTTTTTGAATATTGACAAATTTATTATAATTTTGAATATTGACAAATTTATTATAATTTTGTAAATGCTTATTTTTTAATTTATTAATTATCTGTAATCATTACCACAAATTCATGCGATATATCTCTTTTGTTGAATTTTTTTTTATATTTAATTTTTTTTTTTTTTTGATAAGAGAAAATTATGATGGATTCATTGTGATGGCGAGGCATCTTTGTTATGCATTTGTATGTATTTTTAAGGCTTCGTTTGTTTTCGTAAAATAATTTATAAGAAAACATTTTTCATAATTTTCAGTTATTTGGGATGTTCAAGAAAATAAGTCAACGGAAAATATTTTCCTGGTTAAAAGAACATTAAGTCATTTTTAAGCCCCTTTAATTATTATTAGCATTGCAGTTGTGATATGCATACACATCCACTTATAAAATGATTGACCATGCTATAAGGTAGCTGTTTCGTGCGCTTGTAGAGCAAAATCAGATGGCAATCTAAGGTTGCCTTTGTTATATTTCTGCATAGGAAGTTCTACATGTGATATAATCTCTTTTATTGATTTTTTACACAAATAATTATATATATTGCATAGGAAGTTCTACATGGGATCAAAGCTACCACTGATCAAAGGATAGAGAGAGCCCCTGAAAAAAAAAAAAAAAAGGAAAGAAAACATGTTTTAGTTTATTCTTTTAAATGAAAAAAATCAATGGCGTAACGTATAAATTTGACCATGTAATTTTGACGATTATCCTTGTGCCCCATGACCTTTATAGATCCTGTATTTTCACATTTCAACAATAATCACGTCTCTTTCTAAGATGAAATGTAAAAGTGTAGTATCATTATCGAACATCTACAAAGATAATTTATTTTAGCCAATGACATAGCTATTATTGAAATGTGAAATGTTAGGTCAAAATTGATTAGAATCGTAGTAAAATTCAGGAACTACAAGGATAATCGGTCAAAATTTAAGGTTAAATTTACGCATTTTGCCAAAAATCAATTTTATCTTTCAACATGGCTGAAGCAATTGTCCGAGTAGCTTACCATTTACGCACGTACATGTAATGACGAGTTTTCCTTAACTCAGCCTGGCTGACAATCTTATCCTTATCCTCATCAAATTTCCTTAAAATATTCCTTAATCTCTCATCATTCAAATTATCAAGCCCTTGTGTCTTCAATTCTTGTTTGATTAACATTTTCCTGGTAATAATAGCATCAATGGCTTGGCTTTCAATAGGCATGCGCTTTCAATAGGCATGCACATGGAATGAATGTCTACAAATTTCAAAAACGACGTTCCAATGACACGCATAGTAACAATTGACCTCTTTCTAATATCTTGGTGGCAAAATATCACAATGATAATAAGCCGCAGCTACATCGGAAATTCCGTGATCTAAGGCCGAAAATGTGTTCACCATTTTTCGTCTTAATGGCTTTTTGGTAAAAAAAAATGCAAAAACATGAACATCATAATTGCATTCATAACACTTATAGCTAACTGAGCTACCCACTTTCTCGCAGAAGTTACAGAGATATTGGTAATTGTATCTGAAGGGAATGACAGTGAGATTAAGTCGATGATAATGGTGTCTACTATGAAGAATTGTTGGCAAGAATTCATTGCGGAGATGGGTTCCGAATAGGCAATCGTAACAATCATATGAGACTTTTTGGCAGTTCTTGCATTTATATGTTTTTGGGAAGTCATAATGATTAGTTTTAACACTTCTCAGAAAAGGAGGACAGTCACTTACTTTTGAAGCAGACTCTGCACAAACTTTGTGAAGGGTAAATTCATCGCAATCTTCGCATTTGCAATCTTCGCATTTATAGAAAGTGCCATCACAGGGTCTTGAGCATCTTCTGCATTCAAATTCAATGTTTTTCTGCTGCTCATAAAAGTTCAACACATGCAAGTGATCATTTGTCGGTTGTCTGATGTTGCTTTTTTCCAGGCTCTCAGTCTCCCTTGCATCATCTTTATCCTTTTTCTCCAGTAAAATGAACATTTCAGACACAATTTTCTGGACATCAAGTGAATTTTTATCAACTCTAATCTTTGGCACTCGCTCAATATCATAACCGAGATTATTATTATTCTGGGTTCCGCATTCCATGATGATCAAATGAGCTTTTCTTGAACTTGCCAATTCTACCAATTTTTTGAGATGAGTACTGTGGGAGAGCGCAAGATTGAGGACAAGATTGATATTCAAACCGAGTTGGGTTGAAGTGATTTGACAAACAGTTTCGAAAGGTAAGTTGCTTGTTAATTCATCAGGAAGTTGGGTTGGTGTGATTAAGTTTAGAAGGGCTCTGGTGATATCATTTTGATCAATGAGAGGGTATTTCAGAGAGGGTATTTCAGAAATGAAGCTAATTTGGCAGCAACTGTATCATTGGATTTTGAATCATCTATTGCTGCTATGATCAATGGGGATTTTAATTTTAATTCTTCCATGACAATTTCCTCTTTTCTGGAAAAATATCCTATGAAACAGAAAGAACTCAAACATTCTAGCTATTTATTATTCTTTTTCTCCAAAAATGGAACATAAATATTACTAATACTCATCGCTAATTAAAGCATATTGAGGCAATAAGAAATTCCAAACTTGTGAAAAGTTTAATTGAGTAATAAGAAAGTTTAATTGAGTAATAAGCTAAGAGCAAAGCAATTCCAAGCTTGTACGAAGTTTAACTGAGAAACAAGTAAAGAAATTCCCTTTAAGATAAACCAATAACACAAATGTTTTCACAAGTCTAGACTAATTAAGGGACTAATCCAACTTCCTCATACAAAGGTAATACTTGTGATCAAGCTGAAACTCTGTAACATAATCTGGATTTCCCTTCATATCCAAAAGGAGACCTCCAAATGAAATGAATAATTCCCTATGTCCAACAATAAAAAAAATAACAAAAAATAAAAAATCAAATTAATAAATTAAAAAAGATCTAGACTTTGAGCACTTACGCTTTGACATCAGCTCCTAAACCTTCTTCTGTTATTTTGTATAATTTCCCATACATAATGTACTCAAACTTGTCTGCAATTGATCCTTCCTTACCCTAATTAAACACAACAAGTGAACTTTTATTATTTATATCATGTTAGTTGGAAATGGAAGATTTGAAAAGGAAAATGAGAAACTACATTTTTGTCCCTATGTTTTAGCACAATTAACACCTTGTCCTTGCATTTTAAAATTACCTTACTTTATCCTCTTAGTTCATTATTTGAGATTTAAAAGAAATTAAAAGAAAAAAATTACATTTTTGTCCCTATGTTTTGACATAATTTACTACTTTCAAAATAGTGTAATTTTTAAAATCCAAGAAAAGTGGTTAATTATGTAAAAATGTACGGATAAAATCATAATTTTTCTAAAAGAAAATTACCTGAATGTAATAGCCAGTATCACCTGTTCCATCAGCATGAAGAGTGGGAGTAATGAGCAAAGCAAACTTATCTTTTATTTTAATTGATTGGATAAATCTCTGTATTTACATCAAGTGTAATCTGCATTTCGAGCCTCTCGCTGTGTGCTTCTATGCGAGAAACTACACAGCCATGTCAAATTAGCTTTCTAAAATTTACATTGAAAGGAAAGAAATAAGTAGAATATGTTTACCTTTATCAAACTTTTTATCCATAGAATCAACTATAATTATGTCCTCCATTTCCTGAAATTTTCTTGGTAACCAAACAAAAATTGGAGAAAAAAACAGAGAGAGAGAGAAACGATCCCCACAAAAAAAGAAGGAAACCTGAATATATAAAAATATATATACATATAGATACAGGGAGGGATGAGACGCATAGGGTTTAACCGTTTAGGAGTTTTCTTTCTTACGTATATTAGATATTTAATTACTGTTAGAACTCTCTCTTAACAATAATAATTAATAAAATCCCACGTAATTAGGCACTTTTTCTGAGAAGAAATTTGATAAAGTCGGTGCATTATGACTTATTTCTTTTTATTTTTTCAAATTTTAAAATCAAAATGTTGGTAATATGATAAATTTATAAATATTGTAGTAAAATGTAATGTAGGAATCTAAACCATTATAATGATCTTGGGATAGGGAGAAACTATTGGCATATTTAGATTATCATTACAGGTGGGTTGATTCATAATTGTTTGGTGTATGCCATAATTTACCTGTACATTGTTTTAAGGCCTGGGATTGAATAAATATCATAAATTTTTTAAAGGTCAACCAACATGGTGTTGGTTGGATTGATAAGAACTCCTGGAGCAATATTTTTGCTGGAAGGACCAAAACCACCCGCCAGCCAAATTACATATTATTATTTTCCCTTTTCAATTTTGGAAATTGGGAAAAAAATGTTCATCTTATCTGACTTTAATTTTGTAAGACGTTTCTTTTTGTTTCTGTTTGATTACCGAGAAAATGCTGGAAATTTAACTTATCTCTTATAAAATCAATTTATAGATTTCAAGTTGAAAAATAGTAGAAATTTTGTTAATTATCTCCTTAGTGTTTCTTTCTGTTTGGCTGCGGAGAGGTTGTAGAAAAGTGAAATTTAAGAACGGTGGCTTGTGTAGTCATTCTTTCTGCTTGGACTGCATATCCAAGTACATCGAAGTAAAAATTGAAGGTTTCACTGGAAACATTGAATGCCCTGGGCTGAACTGTGGGCACCCAATAGACCATCTCTCCTGCAGGCCTATCATCTCAAAGCCCCTATTTGAAAAATGGTCTGACCTTCTCTGTGATTCCATAGTTTTAAGGTTCGAAAGGTGCTATTGTCCGTATCAAGATTGCTCAGCTTTGGTTTTGAATGAATGCAAGTATAAACTTAAAAAAATAAAGTGTCCTAACTGTAAGAAACAATTCTGTTTTCGGTGCAAGATTCCATGGCATGCAGGATATGAGTGCAATGCAGGATATGATGGCAATGAGGCGGACAATTGAGAGATAGTAATGATATTCTGGTGGGGGAAACTTATGAAGAGAAAAAGTGGACAAGATGTTACAATTGTGGTCACTCTGTTGCGAGTCAAGTGGCCTGCGAGATAGGTAAAATGCAACAAGTATGCTCTCTTCCTCTCTTCTCTGTGTGTGTATGTGGGTTTTCCTGTATAATAAAATTTGTGATTTACTTTATTCCTCCATTTTTCCTTACACAGCAAAATATAAATAGGAAAACACACAGCACATGTACATGCACATTAAAGTATATTTACACAAATAATTATATATATTGCATAAAATTCATCATCTGATGTGTACTTAAATTATGATACCTACGAAGCTACAAGAAAAAGTAATAATTTGGTGGTTTGATTTGGTCATATCATAATCTATTGATAAGTGTATTACTTGTAGTGGCTCATAATTCTTAACAGATATTCAACAGATTTTGAAGGACATGGTAAAACGGGTTAAGAAGGTGATAGGTTTCCTTTAAGCAGTACCGTTTAGGGCCCACTTTTTCCTTATTTTTATCTCAAATTCTGCTATTGGCAATATCAATGCCATGCTAGTCCTCATTATCTTGTGCAACTATCTAGCTAAGCCTAAGTTCTTTCATCATTTTGGGGCAGCTTAGCATTGTAAATAAAATGATTGATGAAGTGATTGTCATTTGACACGAATATATTAACAGTCAAAAAGAATGTGGAATTGGAAAAATATCTGCATTTAGGCACTTGTGACGGGTTGAAAAAACTAGGAATCATTATAAATATTACCCCTAATCTATATCTTTGATGTAAATTTGGTTTTCAATGCAGATGCGGAGTTCGATTTTGCCATCAATGTGGAGGACGGCTTCATTTAGGTCCCTGTAACCACAAGTGTTGTGGAGACGCTTGCTGCATGCTTTTTTTTCTGGTGGTGTTGATTACTTTCTGCTTTCTACTGTATCATTAAGTAAAGGTGCCGTCGCTGAAATAGCCAATGGGTACAGAAGATTCTCCATTGAGCTTTGGTACATACATGGATGGTGCATTTAGCTAAATAGTTTTGTACATGATCTTTTCTATTACTTCAAGAACAAGTAGAATTACTCCCTAATTTTCTATTACTTCAAGAAAGTAGAATTACTCCTAATTACCCCTTTAATTATTATTAGCATTGCAGTTGTGATATGCATACACATCCACTTATATAATGATTGACCATGCTATAAGGTAGCCTCTCCTTGTGCTTGTAAAGCAAAATCAGTGGCAATCTAAGGTCGCCTTTGTTATATTTCTGCATAGGAAGTTCTACATGGGATATAATCTCTTTTCTTGAATTTTTTTTATATTTATTTTTTTTTTATAAGAGAAAATTATGATGGATTCATTGTGACGGCGAGGCATATTTGTTATGCATTTGCATGTGTTTTTAACGCTTCGTTTGTTTTCGTAAAATAATTTACAAGAAAACATATTTCATAATTTTCAGTTATTTGAGATGTTTAAAATAAGTAAACGGAAAATATTTTGCTGGTCAAAAGAACATTAAGTCATTTTTAAAGAAAATGACTACCCCTTTTTAAGACAAGAAAATATTTTTTGAACATTGATAAATTTATTATAACTTTATAAATGCATATTTTTTAATTCATTAATCATCGGTAATCACTATCATCAATCATCATTTGCTACCACCAGTCATCAGCGATTTTCATGATTTACCACTATTTTTGTATTTTTTTCTCATATTTAATAATAAAATTTTTAGAATATGAATTTTTTATTATTAGAAATATTTTCACGGTGTTATGAGTTAAAGGTTTTAAAATTTTTCAAATGTAAAATTACTTTGGAAACAAATGGAACTTAAGCCAATATTTCCGAACTCTCCTCTCTCACTACAAAAAAAACGCCGATTTGCGACCGATTTTTGCAACCGACTACAATCGATCGCAATTTTGTGACCGATTTGCGACCTATGGACAAACAGTCGCTAATTGTAGCGCTAAAAATTCCCGCGAGTTTATTTTTTAGTTTGCGACCGATTTGCGATTTTTTAGTTTGCGACCGAATTTGGCGGATCGATTTTGCGTACCGATTGCGATTTTGTATTTGTTTTCTACGTGTTAGTCCATCGCAAAATTGAGCTTCAAATTTAGGAGTAAATTCCTGCGACCCGATTATTTGCGACCGACGTTTTTCAGTCGCAAATCGGTCGGCAAATTTTAATTGCTAATGTAAACGACGTCGCAGAGTTAAAATTTGCGACCGATATTAAATGAATTGGCGACAATCCCAGTCGGTCGCAAAATTTTTAGGGCTTTAAATGTCAGATGCCTTCCTTCTCTTTCTTCTTCTTTCTTTCTTTTCTCCTCTCTCCTCTGCCTTTCGTTCGCAGCGCCGCTCCAGCCCCTCCTGAACGCCGGCTCCAGCTCGCCTGACGCCGGCTTCCAGCCCTGTTGATGCCGCCCAGCCCTGCCGTCACTCCCAATTGCTATTTGGACACAGCTTGAGGTATTTTGAGATTTTTTTTTCTTATTTTTTTTTTTTTTTTTGCGATTTATGTGTATTTTGACATAATTTTTTGGTATAATTTTGTTTTGTGTATTTGATAAGTTAGATTTTATGAATTAGGTACTGTATTATTATTATTATATTATTATTATATTATTATTATTATTATTATTATTATTATTATTATTGTTGTTGTTGTTGTTGTTTGTTGTTGTTACTTTTATTATTATCAATAAATTATTATATTATTATATTATTAATTATTATTATTATTGGTTACTGTTTGTTATTATTATTATTATTATTATTAATTATTATTATTATTATTACATAAGAGAGACATTACCTCAGATGTTTTTGTAATTGAGAAAAAAGGAAACTCATTTTTTGGCAATGTAAGAAGTGAGCAGTGCCAGTAGGTGAGGTTCTGATCTTGGTCTTAATTTTATACTTATTTCTTATATAGGTCAATATTTTATGGGACCTTTTAGATGATGTTTCTTTTTAATTATTATTAATTTTGTTTTTTTTTTTTTTTCTTTCTCTCTAATGTTGTCTCTATACTGTTTCTTGCCACCTACTTTTTGTTTTAATATGAAAATACATGTAGATTTCTGTTAACTTCAATGCCGAGATCTTTGAAAGTCCAAGTTACTGCACTACATTAAGACAAGCAGAACATGCAGCAAGAGTTCTTGTAAGCTTTTTTTTTTTTTATGGGGAATTCTTTTCTTTTTTTATTAATGAATATTAAAGAATACCCATTTATTTATTTCTCATTTTGGGAATTAATGATCTAATGAAGGATGAAACTGAAATTTACAAGAGCCTTCTTCAAGAATGGTCATCAATCAAATTCAAGATCAAGATAATAAGGGGAAGATTCAAGTTCCAATGGAAGAGCAATAAAAATGATGAGGAAGAATGGCTTAAATGGGTATCAAGAAAGCAATTGTTTTTTATTTTTGATTTGATTTTAATTTTAATTTTAAACTTTTAGTTTTCCAGTTTGTTTTTTGACATTTTGTTTCAGTATAATAATAATTATAATTTTAATTATTTTTGAATTGCGTTTGTGATATATATAGTCAATTTTCCACAGGATGCGAAAAAAAAATTATGGTTCTGTAATAATTTTTTTTTTTTAATTTTTTTATAATTTGCGATCAAAAATAAAAACTTTAAATTTACAGTTTGCGACCGATTTGCGACAGAATTTCATTATTGCGACAGACTGATTTTGCGACCGATTTGCGACAGAATTTCATTATTGCAACAGACTGATTTTGCGACCGATTTGAAAAAATTTGCTACCGATTTTTCAGTCTCTAATTTGCGACCGACGAAAAAATCGGTCGCAAATTTTTTTGCGACAAGGATTTTTGCGACCGACGAATAGGTCGCTAATGTTATTTAGCGACCGATTTTGTGGCATTTTGCGACCGATTGGTCGGTCGCAAAATGCCATCTTTTTTGTAGTGTCTAATATTCTTCCCACTAAATGGGATCAAACCTATTCCACTAATCAACAATCAATTTAGAGAACCCAGGGCTCAAGAGTCCGCTCAATTTAGAGAACCCAGGGCTTAAGAGCCCGCTGTTGAAATTTAAACTGTCTATTCTACTAATGGAGATGGAATTCGTCCAAGCATAGATTTTCACATGAACACTTTGGTCTATCAATTTCATTTTCTATGCTTTATGACCCCCGCAATGGCATGTTTTTAGGTTATCACTTGAGGATTTTTATACGAAACTCACTTTCTTACACAAGTTAACTCACTTTCTTACACAAGTTATATGCACATAACTCAGCCTGGCTGACAATCTTATCCTTATCCTCATCAAATTTCCTTAAAATATTCCTTAATATCTCATCATTCAACTCATAAAGCCTGTGCCTCCTCAATTCTTGTTTGATTAACATTTTCCTGCTAATAATAGCATCGATGGCTTGGCTTTCCATAGGCATGCACATGGAATGAATGTCTGCAAATTCAAAACCATATTCATGACACTCGTAGTACAATTGACCTCTTTGTATATCTTGGTGGCAAATATCACAATGATTATAAGCCGCATCTACATAGGAATTCCGTGATCTAAGGCCAAAAATGTGTTCACCATTTTTTGTCTTAATGGCTTTTGGTAAAATGCAATCGACATGAACATCATAATTGCATTCATAACACTTATAGCTAACTAAGCTACCCACTTTCTCACAGAAGTTACAGAGATATTGGTAATTGTATCTGAAGGGAATGACAGTGAGATTAAGTAGATGAGAATGGTGTCTACTATGAAGAATTGTTGGCAAGAATTCATGGCTGAGATGGGTTCCGAATAGGCAATGGTAACAAGCATATGAGACTTTTTGGCAGTTCTTGCATTTATATGTTTTTGGGAAGTATATGTTTTTGGGAAGTCATAATGATTAGGTTTAACACTTCTCAGAAAAAGAGGACAGTCACTTACTTTTGAAGCAGACTCTGCACAAACTTTGTGAAGCGTAAATTCATCGCAATCTTCCCATTTATAGAAAGTGCCATCACAGGGTCTTGAGCATCTTCTACATTCAAATTCAATGTTTTTCTGCTGGTCATAAAAGTTCAACGCATGCAAGTGATCATTTGTCGGTTGTCTGATGTTGCTTTTTTCCAGGCTTTGATCCTTTTTCTTCAGTAAAATGAACATTTCAGACACAATTTTCTGCACATCAAGTGAATTTTTATCAACTCTAATCTTTGGCACTCGCTCAATATCATAACCGCGATTATTATTCTTCAGGGTTCCGCATTCCATGATGATCAAATGAGCTTTTCTTGAACTTGCCAATTCTACCAATTTTTCGAGATGAGCACTGTGGGAGAGCGCAAGATTGAGGACAAGATTGATATTCAAACCGAGTTGGGTTGAAGTGATTTGACAAACAGTTTCGAAAGGTAAGCTGCTTGTTAATTCATCAGGGAGTTGGGTTGGTGTGATTAAGTTTAGAAGGGCTCTAGTGATATCATTTTGATCAATGAGAGGGTATTTCAGAAATGAAGCTAATTTGGCAGCAACTATATCATTGGATTTTGAATCATCTAATACTGCTATGATCAATGGGGACTTTAATTTTAATTCTTCCATAATAATTTGTTGGTTGGTGGTGGTGTGCCCACTCAAGTGGGACCCACACTGTTTGTAAACAAAGAAAAAAAAAGAGGAAGGTTGGCAGGTTGGCAACCAACCTTTGCCAACCTTGACAAACGGAGAGCCGTGTGTCACACGGCTCTCACGTTACCTCTCCTATAAATAGGAGAGGTTTTAATTCATTTGATATATACCAAAAATAGAGAGAGAAAAATCTCATTCGGAGTTTTAATTTTAAGAAAGGGTTCTTAAAACTAAGGGTTTAAAAATAGTGAATATTATTAGGGTGTTTTTGGGAAAACACTTCTGAGTGTCACTATTTTGTATTCCTCTCTTTGTAAGCCTACTATTTTTAATAGTGGAAGAAATATTTGGAAATTGATCTCGTGGACGTAACCCTAAACAGTTGAGGGTGAACCACGTAAATTTCTGTGCGTCCCATTTTTATTTTTCGCTGCTTAATTATGTTCGTAATTTTATTGCCGGTATCCTAACATTTTATTGCCGTATCCTAACAAGTGGGTATCAGAAGCCTGGCTTACTGGATCCGTGGGATAATATTTTTAAAATAAATATACACAACGACGAGAAAATACGCTGAGTCCATTGTGCAGTCCGTTCCGAAAACGTTGCAGAATCGACTTAGTGATGAATGAATAGTAAAATAGTAACTCAAAGTTGATGGTGAACAGTACTATTGTTGCTGAGTCCGTTTCAAGTAAGCCCAGCACTATTCACGCATAGTACTATTTACGTATACTGTTACTATTTCCGCGTACAGGTACTGTTTACGTATGCTGTTACTATTCAAGCATATGGTCACTATTTACGTATATTACTATTTACGTATACGGTTTCTGCTGGTGATAATATTCTGCATAAGTCAAAAATGGACGACAGAACAACAGGCACAATGGTTAGACTCAACTCATCAAACTATGCAGTATGGAAGATATTATATTAATGGAAGACCTTCTATGCTGGCAAAGATCTCTTTGAAACGATTTGAGTTGAAAGAAGTCAGACCAGCTTCAATAAATGAGAACCAGAGTGGAAGTCGATTAAATAGAAAACAGTCCGCAACTATTAGGCAGTCTGTTGAAATGAGCGTCATCAAAGAAGCTCTCAAAAAGCAGAGATGGTAGTATTCCTGGAAGACCAAACCATTGAAGACTTTTTAGAAAAATGAAAAGCCAAAGTCTATCAATGCGTTTCCTATTAGTCTTGATGCAGAACCTCGTGTAGAACCACAAAATGATGAAGAAGATGAT